GAGCAGATTACGGTCGACATAATCGCCCTACAGAGCAAATAATTTCGAACCCAGTGGAAAAATTTGAAGAGACTGGATCGGTTACTGATATTGTAAGGCCTGTGCATCATCGCCACATTCGTTCAGCTTAAAATGTCGCTGTTTTTTCTCAAAGTGTGGAGGAAGACCCGAATTGGTCGCTCCTCCGACGTGCACAATACTGGCAGTTAGAGCCCTATTGCAATATAAATTTCCAGGATGCATAATTTAGAGATTGAGTGGTGTCAATTGGCCCGCAAGATCTTGCGACTTAACACCGTTAGATTTCTTTCTGTGGGGCTATGCGAAAGATCGTGTTTATGCCAACAATCCTCAAACTCTTGAGCAACTGAAAGCCAATATCTGTGAAGTTATGACTGAGATATTACCGATAATGTGCCGAAAAGTCATTCAAAATTACATCAAAAGGATTGAAGCCTGTTAGAAGTTCTATGGAGGACATTTAAATGATATTGTTTTTCGCGTATAATGGCAAGGTTTAATCTTTATATTGAATTAAACTGTTCGTCTCCATATCAATATTTTGTGTGTATCTTATTCCTTTACTTTCGGAAGCATAAAATGGATTACCCTGTATTTAGAGCTCTTCTACAGTATGCAGCACTAGTGTTCAGAATTTTTATAAATCTGAATATCGAATACTCGTTTAATGATTTATTTGAATGGGGAAATTATTCGAATATCTAACGAATATTCGAATAATCGAGTATTTGAATAATCGAGTATTTGAATAATCGAGTATTTGAATACTCGAGTATTCGCATATTCGAGTATTCGAATGATCGGGTAATCGAATATTTAACAAATATTAGAGTATTCAACTAGTGAATAAATGGTAAGTACATGATTTCAATGTGATGATCAAAAATCATGTAAATATAAAGGATTTTTCACAGCCACCTCCTCTAAATTTTGAAATCGCATCATTGCATGTGGCACATAGAATTTCTTTATGCTTCAATTTGATACGAATACACAATAAATAATTGAACACATTCGTTAGAAAATAAACAAATGCTTGTAGAATATGAATAATTTATTTTATATAAGTATACAAAGTGCATATAAAGATATTTGCACCTTGTGAGTTTGATAATCTTGGTGTATTCGAGTATTCGAATAAATATTCGAGTATTCGAATAAATATTCGAGTATTCGAATATTCCAGTAAGTATTCGAACATTCAGATATTTGAGTTATGACTAGCCATAATTAGCCGCTTCTCGAATAGTCGAATACTCGAATTATTCGAGTTTGATTCCGAGCCCTATGCAGTACCTTTCTGTTGATATGCGACGAGACGTTTCTTGCATATTAGTTTATAATGAACCATTTGCTAATTTGGGTGCAAGGTTTTCTCCCTGCTGTCTTCAAAATTGTATTGTTAGTAAAATCTTCAAATCAAAATTGTAAAATATTATTGTTAGTTTATAGTTGGTGTTAAGAAAACAAGATAAACTGCGATTTATGTTCAACGTGAAATGCTTCGAATGTTTATTTAACTAAAGCACTATCTGAACTAAATATTTGAATTCCAGATAAACTGACATGCATCTACAGAACATTTTTCAGTACCGGTCAACAGTTGCTATGATCTAACCTATCAGCGTTGGTAAGTCAATTTTTCCAATTTTATGATTTGAATATGTGGCGTTATCATGAACATGTTACTGTGATGGTTTGAAATTAGCGAAGGTGAAGATTTACGGGTAAATGTCCGCAAACACCAATTGTTTTGGTGAAACACCGAACTTTTGCTTTATTGACTTTATTATAAATTTATACTTTCACCGGCGCATCTCGACAAAGTCATGAGTTAGTTGGAATACTGCTGGAAACTATGGATGATAAATGGATGTTGCAAACTTTTGACTCCTTTGTTTCATGCCGTTCGTCATACGCTAGTCCCCGCAATGTTTGGAAGCGGGCGTGCAATTCCAGTTTTATATGACATAAGTTTTGTTCAATGGCTACTACTGCAAATCGTAATCAGTTTTCTGAAACAAGCCCTACTTGAAAGTCACAGAGCAAATTATTGTTTCAGATTTTTTCAAAGACGCACTTTAAAATCGTGTTTGAAGAGATTTCAGGGAAATAGTCAGCAGAAGTGTGAACTATAAACCGATACATAAAAGTTAACTGTCTCAAGCAGTATTCCGTAACAAAAGTCAAGCTGTTCGGTGTACTTTCTGAAATATCCACAACAGTAACGTTGCATATTTTTTTCCAAATTCTTGACAAATATATTTAGCCCGTTGTTTGATTGGTGACGAAAATTTTGCATATATAGTTCAGAATATCAGGTCTCTGTGTAGTTGTAGCAATATGCGGTTGCGTTCACACTTCACACTCACAAAATTCCGTTAGAGGTTTGAATATCAACAAATTTATTTAAAACGGTATCGGCACAAGTCAATATGGCATTATTTTTTATTTTTTCTGTACAGGACAAATAGATCCACTGTGAGAGTGTGGTTTTTTTCTCTTAGCCAGAAATACTCCCAAAATCAACAAATCATCTAGGAAGTAAAAATTGGTTACCATTATTCAAGACCCAAATGAGACTTATGGGAAAACTCATCTTTGCTACCTGCTGGGCATCTGAACAACTTTTTTAAATCTGCGATTGTACCGAAGTCGTTTGTTATTAAACTTTTTACCACTCATATACCATATTCATGGCCGTTTTAATCCGCCGCTTTCTTCTCAGTCACTAAACTTCGTGAAATACAATATTCGTATACGAATTTAAGTCGTGAGGCGATAAATTTCTTAATAATAAGCCGAGACCTTCATTAATATTGTGACAGTTTTGAACACTCTACTAAATGTTAAGCATCTAAACTGCTACAAAATATATTTTTTCAGTAAATTTTGCAGATCATTTTTATTACTACATGATTTAGTAATGTTGCAGTTAGTTACCGTAATGCTAAGTGGTGAAAAATGTATTCGTTCTCATATAGCTATCCTCGGTAGCAGTCTAGTAATATACCTGCGTCTTATGACATGCTCTTACCCCTTGTTCATAACAGAAAGCACCTAAATTCTTAAGCCCTTAGGCTGACCGAGGCCGAGACCTGATATAACCGAAACGTTGGTTCAAGGAAATTAATGATTTTGCCTCTGACCGATTAACCCACACACTTCAACAAACAAATTTCATTAAATTAATATTTCAAACTGAAATAGTTGAACTGATTCGTTTAAGATGACAGAAAACTTTAGCTATTCAGTAATATATTAAGTTGGGCTTCAACTATAGTACTGTAACTAAACTTTCTTACAGGAAGCGCAATGTTTTTAAAAAGTGTTCAAACTGGTTTGATGAACGTGTGATTTTTTGATTCTCCTACATTCCGATTGTACTGTTTTTAGTTGCATTTAAATGCAGTGTATCGAGTAGTTTCGAATACTTTCAGCAATGCAAATAAAATCACTGAAGTAATTAAGATGATCCACTTTGAGACAGGATCCTAAATATTTGTGCTTTCCTCCCGCACTGATGCTGTCATATTTTTATACTCTCATTCAATAAAAACTATCAGTCTCAAATCGGAGCAAATAAAAGTTATAATGGACTAGCACCTTTGCTGAGGATATTATGGGAATCTACTAAACTCCTAAAATTAATTTGAAACCTACATATTTTGTTTCCAGGTCTGTTTATGTTAGTTTCTGTATGCTAACTCACTATTCAAATGACAAACCATTTTTCTATTTGAATCATTATGATATGTATGGCTTTGATTGAAAGTATATTTCTTATTCAACTATTATTCTTCATCGTCGTTTAGTACAAAATAAGTTGTGTCATATTCCAAAAACTTACTTGTAAAGACAAACGTTCAATGCGAGAAAAACTTTAATAACGGAAACACAGATAAAAATAACAGTTTGCAATAAAACGTTATTAGACAATTTAAAATTACTGCGAGGGTAACTGTTCGTCGTTCCGAACCGTACACTGAAAAACATTGAAAGTGTCTAGATGAAAGTGGGTTTTCTTGCTTCTTTTGAATTATTGTCTAACACCTTACGTTTGTTAGGTGTTTTAATACTATTTTTATTTATTTATTTTATAGATTTTTGCCAACAGATTGCTGATTATTTTCTAGTAAAAGTAAATAGCATATGAAGTATATCGATAATCGTCGCCAGCTCTATTTACATCTACGTAACTGCCAATTTTCCGACAGGCAGTTTAAATATGAATTTGTGAATTCAGCTGTTCATTTTTGTATATAGTGGTAATATCTTCAGGTAATAGTGGTATTATCCATGTAGTGATTGGATGATCTAAAACCAACACAAACCACACATCTAATGCGAGATTGTTGTTGGAGAATACTATCTAAACAATTTCGGACAACAAATATTAGAAAGTTTTGACCGATCTGAACTTTTGCAACCTCCTCAAAAGTGCCTCGGGTTGCAAAATGTTAGTCCAGATTTAATCGTATCCAAAAGCTGCCTAGTGAAAGCCTAAAGAAAAAAAGAAAAATCAAGGATATTAATGGAGCATTTTTAAGTAAAAAAATTGGAAATAGTTTTTTTGAAGAGACACCAGAATATTAAAGCAGAAGATCACAAAGTGAACATCAGGGTTTTCGAAGAAAGTTTGGACTATGTCGATGACAGTACGTGTGTAAAAGTTGGGTGAATAGGAGAACCTGGAAGTGGAGCAAAAAAGCTGTATGGAAAATACCATAATATTACAGTGATAATTTTCATTGTTACAATTGAAGAAAAATAAATCCAGGCGTTAGTTATTGAGTCACATCATATTAAAGAATCTCTGCTTGGATGTCGTTGGTTTTTATATAGTTAAAAATTTACTAATAGAAATACATATATATATATAATACATGCATTTGCTCTGTTCATGTCATGTGTTTATTAGAACAAATCATCGTCATCATAATCAGCCTCTACTGTCCACTGCTGGATAAAAGCCTCTCTCATATTTTGCCATTATTTATGGTCCAGTGCCGTGCGCATCCAGTTTCCAGCGAGTCTCCATATATCGTCACTTTATCGGGCTGTTGGGCGTCTATTTCTGTATGATACACTCTTGATCTCCATTGTGATATCTTCCTTATCCATCGACTATCGGCTACTCTGGCCACGTGACCTGCCCAGTTCCACTTCATACGCAGAATGGTCTCGACAGCATCTCGCACTCCCGTGTTGTATCTGATAGTTCTATTTGGGATTCTATCTCGAACGATTAGTCCCAGCATTGATATCTTCATCTTAAGTTGCATTGCGTGTATTTTCTGAAGGTTGTTCGTGGTCATTTTTGTCGTCTCTAAACCGTATGTTAAAACCGGGAGAACGCATTGGTTAAATACTATTGCGGATTGATTTTTAGCGCACAGCGGCAACGCAGCTTCCAGCGTTTTCCAAAAATTGGAGATAATAATAATTCCCGAAAAATGGAGAATCTTCGCAGGTCGTCGAGAGCCCTTGCGCGCTAATATAAATACGGCAAGGCGACCGGAGTGAATTATTCATTCAGAGTTAATCAGCTATACACTGAAATATTTAAAGCGATATACAGAGTGTGTTTCATTCGCGAGCTATAGTTTTGAGTTAGTGATTATTATAGTTAGTATTTGGAAGTTCAATAAATTGTTGTGTTATTTTATTTGGTTACTGGAATCATTCGAACCCCGGGAAACGTAACATTTGGTGTCAGAAGTGAGATTCCAGTGAGAGGTTTGAAGACTTTTGTGTTGAACCATAAGCAAGTGTTTGTTTACCGGACATTGCGAACTTTATGCCAGCGACTAGAAGCCAGCATAAAGTTATGGAGGATCAACTTGCTGCACTGTTCGCCCTTATACAGGGACAGCAGGAAGAACAAGATCGACGTCACCGTGAACTGATTGAAACTCTAGCTATCAGAGATGAGCAACTAGAGGCTAGATTAAACCAGAGAATGGAGACTTCGTTGCAGGCTGTTAACCAGAAGGTTCTCGAGCTGGAAAGAGAACTCGTAGAGCGTCACATCGAAGATGACAACAGGTCCGTGAAGAGTTTTAGCACACCCACCGCTAAGATTTCACCACCCAATTACGACGGAACTACGGCCTGGGAAATTTATAAAACACAGTTTCAGGCTGCTGCAAATGCAAATAACTGGATAGCGCAGCAGAAAGTAACGTCATTAGTAGTGGCTCTACGAGGTAAAGCGGCCGAATTGCTTCAATCTTTGACCACTATGGATCAAGGAAACTATGCGGCTTTGGTGCATGCTCTTCAGCTGAGATTTGGCAACGAACACAAAGAGACCGTTTGAGAATGTCCAAGCCCAGTTGAGAATGAGGCAGCAGAAATCAGGAGAATCATTACAGGAATTCGAGGGCGATATTGAGAGACTCACTCATATGGCTTACCCTTCAGCACCGGAAAGTTTCCGAAAGCAATTGGCGGCCGAACGATTCATCGAAGGAGTTCGGGGAGACGATATGAGGTACCATCTACGTCTAGTGAGACCTCGAGACATCAGTGAGGCTCTAATTCGAGCTTTAGAGTTCGAAGCGTCTCGAGTATCGGTCCCTTCAGCACCAAGAGTAAGGCTGGCTTCGATCGACAACGAACGGGATATACTAGCTGACCAACTGGACAACATATACGACACTTTACAGAAGATGATGGCCGGTTGTAATAGTACTCGCCCGCCAACTCAGGAAGCGCAACAAAGAAGGAGCATAAGGTGCTTCAATTGAGGTAAATTGGGACATATCAGGAGTGATTGCCGCAATAGAGCACGAAGTCCGCCACCGTCGCCTAGGAAGCCGAGTGGTGACACTAACATCAGAAGGCCGCAGGAAAACTAGTTCCGGTCAATGTCCGGGGGCAATTGACCGAGCACATGAAGACCCCCAGTATCATCAAAATTGAACACTGCTCAGGAAGACTGCACGGACATGCCGACGCACTACTACACGCATGCCTACCGAGCAAAGAGCACTATAGGCATTGTCAAAGAGTAGAACAACAGGCTGGGGTCACCTCAATACGAAGAACCAAAGTAGAGCTTAATGAAGGGTGGACTACAGAGGAGCTTAAACGAGAACAAATGGAGGACCCAATAATTGGACCCATTCTTAAAGCGAAAACCGAGGACAAAAGGCCAGAGTGGAAAGACATCTCTGATAAGGATCCACTCGTGAAGGCATTATGGGCCCAGTGGGACTCTTTAACACTGGAATGGCTTATTGAAGAGAGCCTGGGAAAGTGCCGATGGCAGGTCTGTTGTAAGCCAATTGGTTGTCCCTGAGAACAAGAGATCAGAGGTTCTTAAAGAAATGCACAATGGAAAAAGTGGAGGACATTTTGGAGTCAATAAAACTCTGGCCAAAATTAAAGAGCGATTTTATTGGGTAAATTATCGCGAAGACGTAGAGTCCTGGTGCCGTCAGTGCGAAGCATGTTGTGCCACCAAAGGTCCTCGCACGAGATCAAGAGGTCCAATGGTACAGTACACCGTAGGTGCTCCGTTTGAGAGGATCGCGATTGATGTAGCAGGGCCGTTTCCACAGACCGAGGCCGGAAACAAATAAATTTTAGTCGCCATGGATTACTTTACTAAATGGCCTGAAGCTTACGCCCTTCCCAACGAAGAGGCAACCACCGTGGCAAAAGTACTTGTGAATGAACTTCAGTCGTTTCGGCGCTCCTCTGGAACTTCATTCTGACCAAGGCCGAAATTTTGAGTCGGCTGTGTTCCAGAAAGTCATGGAAACGTTTGGTATTCGAAAGACCAGAACAACTCCATTACATCCACAATCCGACGGCATGGTGGAACGATTTAATCGGACTATGGAGCAATATCTTTCCAAGATGGTGGCGGAACATCAGCGAGATTGGGCCGTACATTTGCCCCTTCTGCTAATGGCCTACAGAAGCTCCGTGTATGAAGCTACCGGTTGCTCCCCAGCCAAAGTGTTGTTTGGAAGAGAAATACGACTTCCAGGGGATTTGATGTTTGGAACACCTGGAGAGGAACAACCCAACACGCAGGACTATATAGAGGGACTCAGAAAGAGACTGAATGACGTACATGAGCAGGTCAGGAATAAATTGAGGATTTCCAGT